CACACACACACACACACACACACACACACACACACACACACACACACGAACCTGAACACAAACATAAATAAATAAAACACACCAATTGTTTTTCCACTGGCTGGGACAAGGATGAAGATAAAAGAGTATCATTTTATTAAAAATGTGAATTATAAAATAAGTTATAACCGGTGTGTGTAGTCCAGCACTTAGGAGGCAGAAGCAGGTGGATCTATGTGAGTTCAAAGCCAGCATAGTCTACAAAGCGAGTTCGAGGATAGTCAGGGCTACACAGAGAAAGTCTATCACAGAAAAACCAAAAGCAAACCGAACCAAACCAAACCAAACAAACAAAACTCCCAAAACAACAACAAAAGAAACAAAAACACCCACTACTACCATCAACAGCAACAACAAAAACAAATTATATAACAGCATGGATACGTAGCAGAGTAAACAAATTGCTTGCTAGCTTAAAGTAAATGTTGGCTCAGACCACTTTTCTCTTGTGCTTGCTGAGTGGCCCACTCTGGTTCTCCGTTAGTACTTTTTAATTGCATTATTTTTCGAGACAGAGTTTCTCTGTGTAGCTTGGGCAGTCCTGAACTTGCTTTGTACACTAGGCTGGCCTCGAACTCATAGAGATCAGCCTCCCTCTGCCTCCCTGAGTGCTGGGATCACAGGCGTGCGCCACGGCGGGCGCCTGGCTCTTAATTGCATTTTTAATTGAAAAAAAAAATGCATGCATTTGGTAGAAAAATTTCAAACAATACTATAAACACACAAGGGAGAGAGACTTCCCTCCCGCCCCCCACTTAACCTCTATTCCTTTTTATAAACACAAAAGGGTTTTACAAACTTCAGTGACTTTCCACAGTTCTTGGTCAGCTGGTTTCCAAGGGGCTCGGAAACCTTTAGGGGACAGATACACTGCTAGGGTGTCAGGAGCCTGGTTCAGGCTGAAGCTTGACCTCACTTTTCAGAGGAAGCACCCCCTAAGCATTCTTACACCACAAATACCTACTTTCCCAAACCTCACCAAAGGGGGGTGAGAGGTGGTGTTTTGGGCGCCAAGTCCCCTGAGGGCCACACAGCCTGGCTTTAGTGGGAGGTGACGGTGGTAATTAGGGGTCTTGCATTGTTATCGCCGGGGACGTGCAAATCCAGCCTAGTGTCTGTGACTGGCGGTTCCCACCATAGGCGCCTCCCCCAGGAAATGTTTCCGCGCCCTTCGCTCCTCCTCCGGCTCCTCCCAATCTCCCTTCCCTTCCAGTGCCCGCCCCAGCGTCCTCCAGTCCGGAGTCTTTCGGTACCACCCTCTCCTCCTCCCTGTCATCCCTCCTCCCTCCTCCCCGCCTCCCTCTCCCGCGCTAGGTCTCCGAGAAAACCCGGGGTAGATCTTTGGCCCGAACGCGATTTGCGCACGCGCAGGAGCTGCGCCGGCTGGGCTGCTGGTTCAGAGGTTCCAGGCTGCTCAGTACCGCTGCCCTCCAGGCCTCGGCTCCTGATTGGGGCCACTGCGCTGTGTAAGTGCCCGGCTAGGGCCGCGCGTTGGGGTTCCTGGCCGGAGGGGCTGGCTGGGGGATTAGCCTGGTCTGCACCTGTCCGGATCCCCTAACTACCTAGGTTTTCTGCTTGCCGGTTCCCCTGCCAGCCCGGGTCCCCTGCTTGCGGGGTCCTCTGCCTGCCCAGGTCTCCTGCCCAGCTGGGGACAGACTGCTACCCTGTTGCCAGTCATCTGGTACTCCGCCTGCACCTGCGGTGCGGTGTGCACACCTGAAGGATCTGTCCGGGATGGTCCGCACCGGCAACCTCTTGGCGGGTCAGGCTGTGTTTGGCTCTAATTCCCTCCTGGGCTGCACTGAGCGCGGTGCGCCACGCCCCTCTCCCACTTTGCTAGGCCGGGAACGGGGTGCAGCACCAGCAGACCAGTGCCTCAAACCCAGCCCAACTTGCAGTTCTCCAGGAATGAGATCTTTGCGCTGTAGATTCCTGTTTGCCTCCAGTGACAGCTTAGGAGGAGAAAATGTCGCTACGCTCTGGCCTTTGATCATGCCTCTCTCTGTTATATCCCCTCTTTCCTGTTTCATTGTTCAGCAGAGCTTTCTGGTGTTAGGTCAGGTGAGTGGGGGCCTTTAACTGAGCAGAAACCAGGCTCCCGTTGAACTCAGGGAAAAGTAAGTATGAGGCCTACACACCCACTTTTAAAAACAGTGACTTGGCAGAGTTAAAGAGGTACGGCTGCTTCCTTATCTGCCTTGTGTGTTATTACCAAACAGTGCACCCGGGGCATGACGTTGGAAACCTAGGACTATTCCTGAAGATTTCCCGGTGAGGTTTGGCTTTCTTTTTACATGGTAGACTAATAGTGGGGTGGTGGGGAGATAATTGTCAAGAAACTTAATCTTAAGGAAAAAAAAAAGAAAGAAAGAAAGAAAGAAAGAAAGGCATGTGTGGTGATGTATGCCTTTAATCCCAGCACTTAGGGAGGCAGAGGCAGGTGGATCACTGTGAGTTCAAGACCAGCCTGGTCTACAGAAGAGTCTAGGACAGCCAAGGCTACATAGAGAAACCCTGTCTTGAAAAACCAAAAATAAAACCAAACCCCAAACAAGCAAACAAACAACCAGAAAATGACAATAGGCCAGCATGGTGGTATTTACCTGTTATGTTAGTGCTGCGGAAGGAGAATTGCCAGTTCAAAGCTAGCCTGGGTAATTTAGTGAGACTCCATCAAAAGAGGGGTGGGTGCTCACTGGGAGAGCATTGCCCTTAAAGGAGCAAGATCCAGTTCAGCGCCTAGCACCACGGTCAGTCCAGGGGTTCCCAGTATTTTCACAATTACACTACCAGCATTCCAGAACAGCTTTTCATCACCGAGAAAGAAAATCCACACCGTTTTGCGGTCGCTCTTCATCACTGACCCTTGGAAATCCGAGAAGCCACCAACACACACTTCCTTTGTGGAGTTTCATGGTCTGGGCATTTCATGTTAGTGGAATCATCCACCCTTGTCTGGCTTCTTTCAGCCTATGGCTTTCACGGTGTGTGTGTGTGTGTGTTAGTAGTTACGGTACAGTTTTAGAGCTATAAGATGGAAAGTTATGGAAATGGATGATGAGGACATTGTATAACAATGAACACTCCTTATACTTTTAGAACTGTATGCTTACAAATGGCAAATTTTATGTTCATGTATTTAAAAAATATTTTTGAGGTAGGGTCTCCTACATAGCCCTAGCTGTCCTGGAACTAACTATGAAGACCAGGCTGGCCTCAAACTCGGAGATAGGCCTGCCTCTCCCTCCTGAGTGCTAGGATTAAAGGTGTGCACCACCATGCTCGGCTCTTCTTCGTATTATTTTGGTTTTTTGAGACGGGGTTTCTCTGTGTAACAGTCCTCTTTGTAGACCAGGCTGGCCTGGAACTCACAAGAGATCTGCCTGCCTCTGCCTCCCAAGTGCTGGGGTTAAAGGCCAGTGCCACCATGCCCTGGTAGCTCTTACTATTTTTGATAGCTCCATTGAGATCTAGTTCATGTCCAGCTCCTCAGCTGTCCTTAAAAGTATCAGCTTGTGGTTTCCAGGCTGCAACACTGTCATCAGTCACATTTGGGATACTTGTTGTTCTTTGTTTATTTTTGTGTCTGTGTGTGGGTAATTGCATGTAACTCCTCAGAGGCCAGAAAAGGCCAATAATTTCACTGCTGGGATTACAGGTATTTGTGACTCTGGAAGCCCAGAAGAGCAGTAAGTACTTTAACTACTGAGCCAGCTCCTTTGCCATTCTTATTTATTTATTTACAAATATTCTTTTGAGGTGGGAGTCTCACTGTGCAGCTATGGCTGGCTTGAAACTTAATAGATAGACCAGGGTCCTCTTGAGTGGCTGGGATTAAAGGCTTTTTTTTTTTTTTAAAGACAGGATAATGTCCGTGTAGTCTAGTCTGAGCAGGATCTCTCATGACTTGACTGGCCTACTGAGAGCCATGATGCATGGATCATTCTTGTCATTCTGCACAGAGACCACATCCTCATTAGCAGTTCTCCCTGGTCTAGCTTTCCTGAGGCATACGTAGCCCCCTGTGATGGCACACTAAATGTTTCTTAGCTACTCTTGCCCAAAAATAGCTTGATTCACTAGTAGAAACCTGGTAGGACTTCTAACCAGAAGTGTGTTGAGTTTACATATTAAATTGAGGGGTCTGACAGAGATAGGACAGTGATTCTCTTGTCCACGAAGTGACTCCTATTTCTTCAAATCTCGACACTGGGAAAAGCTCACTAAAACTGGTGTATATGGTCCATAGTTAGTTTCAACTTCTGCTTCTCACAGAAGGGACAGGTAGCCAAGGTTGCCTGTGAGGATTAATGGGGGTAGACCAGGTGTGTAACACGGCCGGGGTGTGTGTGTGTGTGTGTGTGTGTGTGTGTGTGTGTGTGTGTCTGCCCATGACTGCTAATGATGTCAGTGTGAGTTTTGCATGGCAGAGACGCCTGTCTTAGCCTCTGGTTCCCCTTTGGGCAGGCCCTCAGGATGAGCGTCCCTGACTACATGCAGTGCGCCGAGGACCACCAGACCCTCTTGGTGGTCGTACAGGCAGTGGGCATTGTCTCCGAGGAGAACTTCTTCCGGATCTACAAGCGGATCTGCTCGGTGAGCCAGCTCAGCGTGCGTGACTCGCAGCGCGCGCTCTTCATCCGCTACCGACACCACTACCCTCCGGAGAACAACGAGTGGGGCGACTTCCAGACGCACCGCAAGGTGGTGGGCCTCATTACCATCACCGACTGCTTCTCGGCCAAGGACTGGCCGCAGACCTTCGAGAAGTTCCACGTGCAGAAGGAGATCTATGGCTCCACGCTCTACGACTCCCGCCTCTTCGTGTTCGGGCTGCAGGGTGACGTGGCCGAGCAGCCGCGCCCCGATGTGGCCTTCTATCCCAACTATGATGACTGTGATTCGGTGGAGAAGCGCATCGAAGACTTCATCGAGTCCCTTTTCATCGTGCTGGAGTCCAAGCGCTTGGACAGAGCCACTGACAAGTCCGGGGACAAGATCCCTCTTCTCTGTGTCCCTTTCGAGAAAAAGGACTTCGTGGGACTGGACACCGATAGTAGGTAAGTTTATGTAGGAATGGTTCACCTAGGAGCCCTAGGCCATCACCGCCTGTGGCTTCCGAGCACCGGGACATGGGATGAGCTGCGTGTTTGTAAAACGTACAGCACATGCTGAAAAACGAACCTAAAGCAGATCATGATTTTTTTTTTTTGCATTGCTATACGTTAGATTAAAAATAATGTTAATATTTATTTCAACTGTTTTTTTTTTTAATTTTTTATTTTTGAGACGAGGAGGACTCATGTAGCCCAGGTTGACCTCAAACCCTTTTATGTATTTGAGAGCGACCCATCTTGAGCTCGGGTTCCTCCTGCCTTTGCCTCCCAAGTGTGAATAGTATTATGTAGGTGAGCGCCACCGTACCCCACCTGTCTTAATGCTGTGTTGGGGATCAGAACCACAGCCTTCCTGCATGCTTCGCAAGTATTCTACCTACTGAGCCACCTCCATAGCTATGCTTTTACTCTTTAAAGTGGCAACTGGAGCAGGGCATGGTGACTCACAGCTGTAATCCCAGCTCTCAGGTGGCTGAGGGCTTGGGAGCTTCTTAAGACACGACTAGGCTACAGAGGGAGTTTGAGGATGTTCTGGGCTTCATAAAACCCTGACTCAAACACCACCACCTCAAACAAGCAAAAGCAAACCATGTGGCAACTGGACATGTGAATTAGCCTCTGTGGCTGGTGTTCGGTCTGTTTGTGCTGCCCGAGAGCACGTAGGAGGTGCTGAAGTTGGACAGGTAAGTGTTGGGCCTGGGGAGTAGAGCATAGGTCTCCTAGGCAGGCAGACTGCAGGCACCAGGTCTCCTCACCTCGAAGCTGTAGAAGTCAGAAACACCAACCACCCAGGTGTCCCCGAAGAGCCACCTATAGTAGCTGTGAAAGTGTCTGCATGCTCTGCATTCCAAGATGGAGCAGGACAAAGTCGATGGGCCTTGTCCCCAGCCTTGAGCCCTGTACTTTCCTTGGACCAGAGTTACAGGCTTAACTCTTCAGGCCATTTTCTTGTACTCTTAGCTCGCTGGCCATGTCACCATCTTGCCACTGGTAGCAGAAGAGATGAGAAGCAAGCTCAGGTGGCAGCCTTTGCCAAGAGAGTTCCCCTTCCATAGGGAGAGCTCGATACAGCTGTGTCACTCAAAGGCCTGCCAGTTTCAGGCAGAGGCCCAGAGAATTGAATCTGTCCTGCTTCATCTGTGGAATTCAGATCATGAGCCCAAGTGAGGCTTGAATGGGATAATGTACCTGCTGCGGAGTGGGTACCACAAAGTAGCAGGTTTCTGGAATTATCTAGTGTCACATAGCATCACTTTCTGCTTGGTGGTGAGTCTGACAAGAAGATAGCACAGAATGGAACATAGACCAGGGGCAGCCCAAGGGGTTGGAAGCAAAGAGAGGCCCTGTCACACAGCCTTGATGTTTGGCAAGGTCTGGGAGGATCCTTCATGTCTCGTCTGAACTGAAGCTTTTGGTGTGTCTCAGGGCCCACTCTCTGTCACCTTTGCAGCAGGCCTTTAATTTCATGGCCTGGCTTCCCGGAAGGAAGGGTTAGAAAGCCAGACAGCTCCGGAGTCAGAGCTGATGTCCCAGCCAAGCTCAATCTAAGCCCCCTATGCAGGTAGACTTGGTACCCAAGTGAGGTAATGATGTTGGGGACCCACAGTCCAGCCCATTCAGCTGTCTTTATCACAACTCCAGTCTCTGTTTTCTGAAATGATCCGGAGCCAGGACAGAGCCTCGCACCAGTCTCTACCTCCTAGTAGCCTGTCCAGAGGGAAATGACATGGGGGTCTTGTCGCTTGAGGGGAAGTGTCTGGACATATGTCCAGGTTTTGGTTTGTCCCAGCAACAGTAAGGTGATCTCACCTGCAGAGCAAGCCTTTCTCTCAGTGCTGGGTGTGCATGGACTTGGGGTCCACACTCAGGCAGTCACGGAGTCGTCAGGGGGCTTGTACGTGTAGCACGTAGCTCTCGGAGTTATTTTTGCTCTTGTATGTTTCTAATTTTGCTTGTCCTTCTTTCTTTTCTTTCTTTCTTTCTTTCCTTTTTTTCTATCATACCGCCCTGTGAGTATGTTGTTGGGTCTGAAAAGGTAGGCTGTGAACACACCACTGTGAAAGTGGCTAGTTTTCCCCATGTGCTGTTCCCATTGCCGCCATTGCTTCAAAAACCAACACCGCTGCCTAGACCCCTGTGTGTTCTGAGCAGTCCTTTAGTTGTTAATTTCTTTCTTTTAGATTCTAGCTTCCTTAGCACCTAACCCATTGGTGTTTGATGTTTGTCAAAATACTTGCTCCAGGGACCTTCTTGGTCTTCAGTATTTGGTGACAAATGAGCCTTTACTAACTCCCCTTTTTGTTTCGAGGGTGTGAGATGCCGGTTCATTTGGGTGGCTGCAGAGGTTCTCACGGTGGGGGGGGCATTTTAACGTGGGACACCAAGCGTGCAGCCCCGCTTGACCCCAGGCTTGGAAGCGAGTGAGGCATGCGGTGGGTGCCTGTGGCTGTGAGGTGTGCATGGTGGCGGAGCCGCAGGTCAGACATGTGGGGAGCAGAGCTGTGTTGGGTTGCTGCCTGCCTTCTCTTTTTGCTTTTCCTTGAGGGGCCCTTTCCCTATCCCTTTTTTTGTCAGCAGCTTCTCCCCAAAAAGGACAGAGGCCACTCTAAATGGGTAGCAGTCTCTCTCTCTCTAAGAAGGTTCAAGGGTGGTTTTTCTAAGACCAGAAAGCAACAACCTTCCAGATAGCTAATTCATTGAGTGTTAAGCATGTGAAGACCTATGTTACTGACCACTCTTCCCTCTCTCCCTGCAGAGCTTTGCCCAGGCTCTCCTCTCCGAAATAGGCAGAAAAGCCCACTCTACAGCAGGGGAGTCTGTGTCTGGAACCTTAGAAATAGATCACTCATCTGTGTCACAGATCTGAAGTCATCCTTCCTGGTTGATCTTTGGCCGACCTAGTCCCCATTGTTCCCACCCCAGGTTCTCCTGACTGTAGGGCTAGGGTCTGGTTCTGCATCCCGCTGCTATCGTACTCTGCCTCTGAGCCTTCATTTACTGCAAACACTTTCATTTTTCATTTACTTTGCCTCCATGGAGATAGGCTGGACTTGCTGAGAGATTCCCTACCATTTTAGGCAAAAGGAAATTCTCATCACTAGTGCAGAAGTTGAGGCTATGCTACAGAGAAATAGCAGTGGTCCTACTGTGGTTGTAGGGCCTTTCTGTCATTGACTAGGTCGTGCATTCATTCATGTGACAATAGCTTGTCCTAGGCCCTCCTAGTCTCACTCTAGCAGGCTTGTCACAGAGATCATCAGACCATGGGGAGCCATGAATCTATGTCCTGTCCTATCCTCTGGCCTTCTTTTGTGAGGGACAAGGATTCCTCTAAGTGCCCCTTGCAGGAAATTGCCTTCCTTCGTGGATACCCCCTAGAGGTAGTGTGGCACACAGCTCTGGGCACTTGCTGTGTGTCACGCCAGATCCTGGGAGGCACATTAAGGTATGCTTCCGGAACAAAGGAAGGGTCAAATAGGAATTTAGGGTTCTGCCTGGAATATCTGGGCATACCATGGGTGGTTAGCTGCTGGGACACATGGCAGGTGTACATGGGCGGTCAAGAGGGGATGCTCCAAGCATCTGGGTGTGAATCTGTGGCTAGAGGAGGTAAGACCTGTCAGCCCTGAGTCTGTGTCTGGTTCCTTAGAAAGAGATGAGCTGATCTGGGGAGCCCTTTGGAGGCTGGGAATGAGCTGAGCCCCTAGAGAAGAGTATGAGCAATCTGAGCTCTCGGGGGCAGCTGGCATGTGTCCTAAAGGTGTTACAATCCGGAGGGTTGTGCATCCTGATTGTGAAAATCCTGCTGTGGCCAGGTATGAGTTAGTTGGGCTCTGGCGGTTCATTGTAGGCAGGAGCTTGTGTGGAGCAAGTTTGGCTAGCTGCCTCTCACCTAACATCCCAACCTGTGTACCTCACCTCACCAGTGGTCTCCGAGGTAGGGGTGGCAGGCCCATTTTTGCAGAGTCAGCATTCTCAGAGTTTAAGTAACACAGCATCACACAGCCAGTGGGTGAAGTATCAGTATAGAGGCTCAGGCTGGCCAGACCTCTGTAGCGAGTCTGCTTTGTGGTGCTTGAACTTTTGGAGCCTTCAAAAAAAAAAAAAAAAAAAAAGTCTCCCATCCAAGTGTCCAAGCTCTGTCACAAGCTCAGAATTCCTTGGTGGTGAAGTTGGCACCAAAAAAACTTCACCCCCCAGAGGGACAGGCTTCTCTGGCAAGGATATGGCTTTAGATAATACACAAGAAACACAACTCTTTTGCACTTTCCCTTCTTTGTGGTGCCAGGGATGGATCCTAGGGCCTCTTCCACATTACTATGCTAAATGTGAGCTCTACCACTGAACCACAGCCCAGCCCTAGAGTAATTAAGAATAAAGATTTGCTTATTTTTTATTTTTATGAGGGTTTTGCCTCCATGTATATCTCTGCATCATGCATGCGCGGGGCCTGTGGAGGGAGAAGACAGTGTTGGATCCAATGGAGCTTGAGCTATAGGCAACCGTGTGCTGCCATGTGGGTGCTGGGAACCGAATGTAGGCTGTTTGGAAGAGCAGCAAGTGCTGAGCCAACTCCAGCTTCCAGAGTGACTTGTTTCCCCCTTAGGTGGCGAGGCTAGGCTTGGGATAGTGTTCCAGGCTGAACGTACCCGGCTGTTCTCGCCCTGTCCTGAGGTGGAAGGCTGGAGGGCCTGGGCATGACGGGCATAGAGTTAGCAGTACAGCCTCACCCCCGACCCTGGATCTCTGCTGGGGATCTTTGGGGAGAAGGTTGAGGTAAGGGAAGGACATAACATGTTATGCTTTGGGAAGGGTATGTGGGGAAAAACACCTTGGGGGAAGGCCAGGAAGACTAGCCTGGAAACCTTGGAGTGGCTATGTCTGCCTCCTGAGGACGCAGGAGCAGCCCAATGCCGCATCGCTTGTCGGCGGGGCCATGCTGGCGTAGCTAGCAAGAGAGCTAGCTAGGGAGTTAGCTAGTAAGAGCTGGTGTATCTTGTCCGCTCCACATCTCCATACAGGCATGGCTTAGTTCTAACAGCATCGGGAGGTGAAGTGGTCAAAGAGCCAGGGGCAGCTGACAGAGTTGAGCCAGACAGGGCTTCACTTCCTCTGGAGCTGCCAGCATCTTTGATTTCATCAGGAGCTTCCCTACTCCTGTAGTGGCCCATTCTTGAAAAGGATTGCTTCCGCTGGACATAGCTGCTGTTTGCTCTTTTGAAAGAATCCCATCTTCGAAGCTGGTTAATCTCTTAAAGGGTTAGTGTTTTCAGCGGGTGGGTCTGCTCTGTGTTGTGCATTGGTCCACAGCACGCCCTCGCTAACATTTAAAGAGCCCCAGCCAGACAGCTGGCCAATGATGCCACCCATCGCTTTCTATGGAGTAATCCCAGGGCTGAAGTTAAAAGGAGGGAAACTCACTGACTTATTCAAAGGCTGAAGACATACACTCTGTGATATTGTTGAAACTGGAGCCATCTGAGAAGAAGGTTCTGGCTGTAGCAGGGTCTGAGTAGGTTGTAGGAGCCTTATCTACAGAGGACTTTAAAAATCAACAACAACCACGTGGCAGCACAGCTTTGAGGCCAGGGCCCCTGCAGCTCACATGACTGGCAATGACCGCTGCTGGCTTCCAACCTTAGAGCCTAACACTGCCTTCTCAGCATTTGTTAGACATAGAGACTTGCATCTCGCTCAGCCCTGCGCCGGGGGGAGGGGGAGGGAGCAGCAGTAACAAGGCGTTTCCCTGGAATTTTATCTTCCAGACATTACAAGAAGCGGTGCCAAGGACGCATGCGGAAGCACGTGGGAGACCTGTGCCTCCAGGCTGGGATGCTGCAGGATGCCCTGGTGCACTACCACATGTCCGTGGAGCTCCTGCGCTCCGTGAATGACTTCCTGTGGCTGGGGGGTAAGGCGCTGTGACCAGATGAGTCGACACGTGGTTGTGTCCACTGGTATTTGGATATGAGGAAACAGCACAAAGAAAGGCGAAGGAGGGGGAGCAGGCGGCACCTGTTGATTGCTTTGGGGGGGGGGGAGGTCATTTCCCTGACATACGTGCTGCTTACTCTGCCCTGGCCTGGGCCTGGCGTGTGTCCTCTGAGGGAGGTGTGTACTTTCTTTGGCCTGAGTTCTCGGCGCCTCTGCTTTGGCTGCCATTGCCCATGCCCTTGCCTCTTCACCCCAGCTCACGTTCTTCCTGCTCACCCTGGTCATCCTGAAGACGTAGCCCCCAGTGGGAGAAGTGGGTATACACTATGTGCACGGGGCTACCTTAAGAAGGGGATGGGTCCACATTTGTCTGTTGCCATCCCAGATGGCGTAGACACAGGTAGGACACGGGGGAAGACATTTTGGTCCACTTTAGAGGAATTGCTTTTTGTTAATCTCGGTGTAGTTGTGGCTGTCCTGGAATTTGATCTGTAGACCAGGCTGGCCTCCAACTCAAGAGATCTAGCTGCCTCTGCCTCCCACGTGCTGGCATTAAAGGGGTGTGCAGCACTGCCCAGCTTAAATTCTTCCCTCCCTCCCTCCTTCTCTCCCTTCCTTCTCTCTCTCCTTCCCCCCCTTCACTCCTCTGCCTAGGATGGAGCCTTGTACTAGCTAGCCAAGCCCTCTATCAGCTCTGTGCAACCCCCAGCCCTGCCATTAAATGTTTCCAGCCCAGCGGCTCGACACCTCTGCAGCTCCATCATCTGGCACAGCACCCACAATGTATCTGTGTAAAACTGCTGGTCCCTCAGGGCCTACGAGATGGCTCAGTGGGTAAAGGCACCTGCTGACAAACCTGATGATCTGAGTTCAACTCCCGGCACCCACATAGCGAAAGGGGAGCACCAAATCTCCTAAACTGTCCTCTGACTTTGACAAGCACACCGCGGAGCATGCCCTCATCCCTCCCTCATCCAATAAAATAAATGTAAGCAACCAAACAAAAAGAACCCCCAAAATGGTGGTCCTATGAATAAGTGAGAAGAATGATGTTTTTCCTGTGTATTCACTTAGGCCATCAGTGAAACCCTGAGCCTTGCTGGTCTCTCGTGTTGCCTGCCCCGATGTGGCCTGCGAAAAGATGGGTAACATGACTCTGTGTGCTGCAAAACTAGTGACTTCTTTTTCCTTTTCTATAAGACAGGCTCTCACTCTGGCCTGTGACTTACTATGTAGACCAGGCTGGCTTTGAACTTACAGAAATCCACTTGCCTCTTCTGCCTCCCCAGCACTGGGATTAGAGGCATGTCCCACCATTCTCAGCTAGTGTTCTTTAATTGCAAACTTTGTTTTTGGTAAATTGGCATTTTTCTCTTTCTTTGTTTCTTTCTAGATTTATTCATTTATTATCTATACAGTGTTTTACCTGCATATATGCCTGCACCCCAGAAGAGGGCACCAGATCTTATTATAGATGGTTTTGAGTTACCATGTGGTTGCAGGAGAATTGAATTCAGGACCTCTGGGAAGAGCAGCCAGTGCTCTTAACCTCTGAGCCATCTCTCCAGCCCCCAAAATTGGCATTTTCAAAGAAGCTGACTGTTTAAGTCATTCTCAGCCCCGGCAAGGTTGACTCTACTAATCATCTTTGCTTCTCTTCACCACCCAGCTGCCCTGGAAGGGCTATGTTCCGCTTCGGTCATTTACCACTATCCCGGAGGAACTGGCGGCAAGACTGGGGCTCGGAGACTCCAAGGTAGTTCACTTCCGTCGGAAGCAGCCAACAGACACCGGCCAGGTGAGCCTGACTTTCTCCAGCCTGCACCCACTGCAGTCTCTGAGCATAGGAGCAGCGTGCTATGCTGTCTTTGCCTCTCCATTAGGCCTGATGAATGTTTCTAGGTTGGAGGATTCCTTGCAGTCTGAAATCTCAAAGGAGGCGTTTCCTTCTGGCTCATCAGCTCTGCTGGAACAGAGAGGTTTACATAGAGTGATCACTGATTTCTGGGCCCTTGCTGAAATTCCCTGGCAGGATGGACTTGGGTACCCAAGTAATGCGTAGCCCTGGTCCCTGGCGACAGTTTTTACCGCTGATGCAGGGGCCAGGGATACTTCCTGTTTCACTGAAGTTTTCCTAGTGAGTTAAGCTTGGTTTCCTGATGTTTGCTTTCAGTGTAGGGCAGAAGACTTCTCTGGATGAGGAGACCCACAAATGCTCAGTGAGCTTCTGATCCTTGGTGCAATGCCGGTCACTTTGCAGTGGTTAGGCAGCTGATGAGGAATGCCTAACTCAAAGCCAAAGCTACCTTTTAGTCTTTGAGAGTTTTAGAAAACCTCAACGAAGAGTAAGCCACATTTTCTCCTAATTGGGGACAAAGTAATGCCATTGTAAAACACAGCTCATATTCTAAAGGAAAGGAGACAGTTAATTTTTTAATTTTTTTAATTAATTAATTTTTCAAGGTCGCGTTTCTCTTTGTAGTCTTGGCTGTCCTGGACTAGCTTTGTAGACCAGGCTGACCTTGACCACACAGAGATATGCTTGCCTCTACCTCCTGAGTGTTGGGATCGAAGGCAAGTGTCACTATGCCTGGCCTGAAGGAGAAAGTTTATTCTGAACCAAATATGAGTGATAACAGGCCAGGAACATAGATTCAGCTCGTCCCAAGTGACAGTTCCCCACCGTGGACATTGTTACACAGAACCGAGGACAGCCATATACAAGCGTACTGATTAGACACATCAGTCAGGTCCCCATACATAGGCGGGGTACAGCAAAGGCGGGGAGTCTTCATAGCGTTAGGGTCTGCTAAGTTAATACATCGAGAGATAGCCACAAGAATGTTAGCGCAGACGTGGGCAAGGGCTGGCTGTTGAGATGCTGAAAGGAGTCTTGATCTTGGTTCTTGATCTCTCACAATCAAACTCTCCAGTCAGTCCTTCAGTCAGTTTGCAGAATCAAGTGGAGGCACGGCTTTCTCAGGAAACCTCAGAAGGGGAGTCAGAGCGATTCCTCCGTCACCCATTGTAGAGCATGCAGAAGCGGCTGGGTGAACTTGGCTCTGCAGGATCTGTGTGGAGGAAGGCACATGATTCCCGAGGGCCTCTTGTGCTTGACTGCCGGGAGCCCCTGGTGGTGTCTCCAGAGAGGAATGGGAGCAGGAGAGGTGTGGGGCTGAGAGTAGGGAGGAGTGTGCCCTTGCTTTCTGGGTTTTGATCTCTCCCCAGATGCTGGGCATAGCTGCAGGCTCTGCTGTTAGACTGTAGCCGAGTCTCACTCTTAGCTCCCAGGCTGTCCGTGTGCTAGCCCTGCCCTGCTGTGACTGTGGAGCCTGGAAGCCTGTAGGGTGACACTGAACCATTTCATCTTGTTCTCTTGCCGGGTGTGAGCAGAGGAAGCTTAAGCAACAGAGCAACTGCCCCACGCCTTGGGAGAAACGTCTTCCTTTAGCTTTACTTTGTGTGCTGATGTTGGAACTTTCCATTGCTGAAGACAGCCTATCACATCTGTTACATGTGATTAGGACCAAGTTCTTCAACCTCAAGGGGCTGAGACAGGAGGATCCCCACGAGTCTGAGGGCTGCTTGAGCTACATCGTGAGTTCTAGGCCAGCCTGGGCTACAGAGTACGATCTTGTTGCAAAAGATATTGAGGGGGCTGGAGAGTTCAGTGGTTAAGAGTACCGTCTGCTTTTCCAAAGGTCCCGAATTCAAGTCCCAGCCACTACATGGTGGCTCATAACAATGTATAATGAGATTTGGTGCCCTCTTCTGGTGTGTATGCATACAGGCAGGTGGAGTACCAAATAAATAATAAATAAATAAATCTTAAAAAAAAAAAAAAATCAAATTGTATGTCCCAGTGGGTAAAGGCACTTGCCACTGAGCCTGACAGCCTGAGTTTGATCCAAGCAAGTTACATGGTAGAATAAGAGAAATGACTTTCACAAGTTGTCCTCTGACCACCATTGTGGACCGCACGCCTGGAAACACGCACGCACGCACGCACGCATGCACGCAGAGGGCTGGGAAGATGAAAAACACAGCACTGGGTGGGAGACATAAGTTCTCTTACTTTATTTTTTCACTTGCTATGACAAAAGCAACATGGGTAGAAGGGTTTATTTCATATTTTAGCTCATGCTTCCAGGCTGTGTTCATAATCAAGAAGCGGAGAGAAAGGCCCGATTATGGTTGGTTCATTCTCCCCATTTGTGTGGCCTGGGTCCCACCTCAATGAATACAACTGAGACAGTCCTACCCTGGTGTGCCTGGCCAGGCCCATCTCATAGGTGGTTCTGGGCTCTATCGTGGAGTATCACCACACAGATTTCTGGAGCTCACTGGCCAGCTGGCCCAGGGAAAGGACGAGTTTCAGGTTCAGTGAGGAACCCTCTCTCGGGAATACGGGAGAGCATGGTGAGGGCAGATGGAGGAGCTGCCAGCATCATTGGTTCATGATGATTAGTAAGTAGTAACAGGAATGTAGGAGACTTCTATCTTTTCTTTTTTCGAGACAAGGTTTCTCTTTGTAACTCTGGCTGTCCTGGAACTTGCTTTGTAGATGAGGCTGGCCTTGAACTCACAGAAATATGCCTGCCTCTGCCTCCCAAGTGCTGGGATTGGCTTTTTTTTTTTAAGGTTTATTTTAGGTGTGTGTGTGTCTGTCTGTCTGTTACAGCTGTGAAAACAAGACAAACTGATACAGACTGTTTTGTTTATTTTATTTTTTTTTTGAGACAGGATACCACTGTGTAGTTGTGGCAGATCTGGAGCTCCAGGTAGAGATTACGCTGGCCTTGAACTTGTCCTACTGCCTTTGTCTCCAAGTGCTGGGATTATGGGTGAACACCACCGTGCCTGGCTGCTTTTAAAAAATTACTATTTTTAAAAGATGTACTTATTTATGTATGAGTGCTCTATCTGCATGTACACCTGCATGACAGAAGAGGGCATCCGATTCCATTGTAGATGGTTGTGAGCCACCGTGGGGTTGCTGGGAATTGAACTCAGGATCTCTGGAAGAGCAGCCTGTGTTCTGAACTGCTGAGCCATCTCTCCAGCCACCTTTCAAAATAATTTTTATTTGTGAGTATGTGTGTATCTACTCACACATACAAGGGTATCTTTGGAGGTTAGAAGAGAGCATTGGATCCCTTAGATTTACAATTGAAAGGCACCAGATGCGGGTGCTGGGAATTAAAGTCTAATCCTCTGTAAAAGTAGCAACTGCTCTTAAACCATCTCTCCCCTCTCCTGCTTTTGGGAACAATGCAAAGACTGGGAGAAAGTTTCACAACTGCTTGCAAAAAGGACCAGTTCCCAGGCCCTGACTGTTCTTAGACTGTCCTCTGTGAGCCCGCCTCTTTTGCTGACATCTGAGTGTCCAGTTTCAGCTGTTGAGCAGTGCCACCTTCCCTGAAGCTGTGCTAGTTGGACTTTACCTGTGGTCTGTGAGCATCCTACTTTCTAAAGATGCCTCTTGCAGACCCTGGGAGGATTCTTGCAGGACATTCCATAGGTGGCACTGTTGTACTGATTTACTATTTTGAAAAGCTTTCTTTTTCCCACTTACACAAGAGGACTCAAACTAGGTTCCTTGAGCATGATTTCTTCATTTGATGTTTCAGACAAGTGCCCACATACCTGGAAAAAGCCTTTGGTTTTATATTATTTTTCTCTTCAGCTCAGAGTGAAGATTACAGGCATGCTCTCAGAGCAGTGGTGAGACTGGATTTTCTCTTCAGCATTAGGAACCAGTTACCCATGACATCACAGCTCTGCAGCACCTTACAGATGAGAAGGAGGCTGCCAGCTAGGCCCTAAATTTCCCTCTCCACACCTATGCTTATTAGTAAGCACCATCTGGGGTTGGGAGAAGATCTGGCTTCCCCTTCAGCTGAGGCGGTTGCGTGGAGGTACTGTGTTCAGCTATATGCATTAGGTGTGTTATTGAACTTGTAGGTCACATCCCGTGTCCCAAGTCAGGTCCCCCCACCCATCCTTAATCAGCACATTAAAAAGAGTAGTATTAAAAGTGGGAAGCAGGGGGACCTGGAGAGATGGCTCAGTGGTTAAGAGCGTTGGGTGCTCTTCCTGAGGACCCTGGTTCAATCCCAGCACCCACATTGCAGCTCAAAACCATTTGGTTTGTAACTCAAATACCAGTGGATTTGACCCACTCTCCCCAAATGTACATAAAATTCCAAATACCAAATGTGCATAAAAATAAATAAAATTTAAAAAAGTGGGAAGCAGAAAAAGATTTATTCCATGTGGCCACAATGGGCAGAGGGATGAGAGTCTTGCTGTGTAGCTTAGGCTGGCCTTGAGTTTGGTTCTGCTCTTCTCCACCTCATTACTGAGATTTACAGGCATGCACCACCACACTGGGGACTGGAAACATCATTTTATACTATTTGATAAAAAGGAACTAGAATAGGAAGAAAGAACTTCGTGAAGAAAGAGCCAATTAAAAAGTAGGCCTTGTGCACAGATTTGTAGTCTATGGCTTTACAGTCTTAGGAACTGGGGTGATTAAGGCAGGAGGATGGTAAGTTCAGATTTCAAGGCCTGCCTGCTAACTGAACAAGACAAGACTCATCTCAGAAATGAAAGGTTGGAGGTGGCTCTTGTTTGAGAGGTCTGCACCTGTTCTCTCAGGGCTGCCTTCCTTCCTCCCTTCTTTCCTTTCTTCTGGAGCGTCTCTCTTTTTCTTTATCCTTGTACTTAAAAAAATGTCTTCTAGCATGGCATGGCGGCACATGCTTTTAACCCCAGCACCTGGGAGGCCGTGGCAGGGGGATCTCTGTGAATCTGAAGCCAGACTGATCTATAGAGTGATCTTCCAGGCCAGCCAGGGCTACATGGAAACCTTGTCTCAAAAAAGACAGAAATACAAATGTCCTAACAAATTCCAATTCTGCTTTTTAAAAAGTGGGGTTGGGGATCTCACCCAGTGGCAGGTCTGGGGCTCAGCCAGTACCACACATAGTGAGCATCTATCTATAATAGGATGTGGTACCCTCTTCAGTCATGCAATCACACATGCAATGGAGTGCTGTATGTATAAATAAATAAGTCTTTAAAAAAGGGATGACAATAGCTAATGATGAGCATGAGTCTTGGGCCCTGGAGCTCAGGGGGTGTGCTTTGCTGTAATGGGAAATTACCCTCTGCAGAGAAGACTGCTTGGTCCTCACTGACATCTGGATAGTTTAGATGAGGAAGGCTTTCCCAGCTTCTTGAGAATAGTGGAGCTAATTGCTTCATGTGTAGATGCATTACTAAGCCCCTTTCTCCCTTTTTTTTTTTCTTTAAAATTTTCTTCCTCTTTAAAAAATTATTTTTTGATACGTGTGTGTATGTATGTATGCACACGCTAGTGCTCCCAGAGGTCAGAAGAAGGCACTGGATTCCCTAGAGTCGGCGTTCCAGGCAGGTGTAAGCTACTTAGTGGGGATGCCAGCACCTGAATCTTGATCCTCTGCAAGAGTGATGTTTGCAGCTGCTGAGCCATCCTTCCAGCCTCCACCACTCACTTTGAGACAGGGTCGTGTGTATCCATCCCAGTCTGACCTCAAACTTACTGTGTAGCTAAGGATGGTCTTGACCTCCTGGTCCGAGTGCTGGAGTTACTGACGTGTGCCACCATGCCCAGTTATGCAGTGCTGGGGATTGAGCAAAGGGCTTTGTGAATACTAGGTGTATACTAGGCAAACACTGTTCCAACTTAGCTACATCTTCAACACAGACTTCCTTTAAACATTGCAAATCCTTATTTTTGATAAGTGTCCTGTAATTCGTAATTCCTTTTCCCTCTCTTTGTGTGTGTGTGTGTGTGTGTGTGTGTGTGTGTGTGTGTGTGTGTGTAGATTTTCAGATTGACCTAGGGGGGAGTATTGTTACATTTCCATAGTTCCTTTTGAGGCCTTGATGCCTCAGTCTTGAGTGCTCGCATATATTTGAGAAAAAAAATAAAAAAGATTCCTGTCCTTATTGGTTTACTGGTGAAATGAGTGTCTCTGAAACTTGCTTAAGGCGTGCGAGGAGCCCGAGTTTAGAGTAGGAAGGGAAGAGGTAGGGGGCACTGTCCTCTTTGTTCAAAGCAGGCTTAACGTAGATCTTCTGTTTTCCCCACAGAAGCAAAAAGCACTGTGCCTGCCATGCTGCTGCTCACAGCTGCTGTTATCATATCTGCAGCGTCTCAGGCTTTGCAGGGCGTATGCAAACTATAAACTGTGTTCTTCTAGTTGTCTTTAAAAGTGGTTTTTTGTTTTCCAAATAAAAGACCGTAATCTGTTCTTTCTTCCAGGGGCGCAAGAAGTTCTCATTGACCCAGGTACATGATCTCCGTGCTTAGTTTCTTTTGGTTGTTGTTATTATTATTATTATTTTACGTGCTTGTTTTCACGATGTTGTGAATGAATGGTTTTGGTTTCTGGACTGTGATTTTTGGAACGTTCTGATTTAAGTGACTTTAAATCAGAACTGTGACAAACATGATTATTGTTCCGTCCTTGTTTGATGGGGTGCCCTACTGATTCATGTTGTCTGGTGCAGAGGAGCAATTTCCCCCTAGCATGGTGAAGCGAATGACTGGAGAATCGTGCCTTGAATTCTCTGAATGCACTGCGCATGCGTATGTTGTTGATTTTGGAATCCCTTCACGGCAATGACTTTGCTCTGCGCCCGTGGCCTACGCTCCTTTCCACATTGATTTGAATTTCCTGTTGCATTTCTTCTCAGAGGCTGTTATTATTATTGTTGTTGGAGAGACAGGTCTTGCTCTGTAGGCTAGCCTGGTCTTCAATTAGTGGCAATCCTCCTGCCTCAGCCTCCTAATGTGTGAGCCACCATGCCTGTATGTTCTTAAGAAATCTTGCATTTTTTTTTTCTTTTTCACAGCATTGGGTCTTTCTTTACCCTCTTAATTGCCTGTCATTAATCCAACAGAAACTTGTTTTGTTATTGGGCTTAATTATTTCACAACGAGTTCAATTATTTTTGGCTTAATTAGAAATGATGGCCAGGCAGGTAATAGTGTAGTAGCTTCGTACTCATGCTGGCTGCTTTCATTTCACGTGTGTTTAGGCTCAAAGTGGAGTCCCCTCCAGCACAGCTGTCCTGTCTGATTCCAGCTCCGTCTCTACACCACTGGCTAAGTTTCTCAGTCTGGTTTGTGAAAAGGGTAGAGGACCCAGATGCCTTTGATGTTTGTTTGCTTTCTGAAGAAAACAAAACAAAACAACACAAGGGCAGGGCTTCTTGTGACAGGAGCCAGTGACTTTCTGTAATGGTGAAAGTTACGTTGACAAGCCAGGCATGGTGGCACACAGCTGTGATTTCCTCAGCACACAGGAGACTGAGGAAGGAGCCTGCTTCAGCTGTGCATCATCACCATGTCTCAAACCCAAAACATACCTCTCAAACAAAAACAAACAAACAAAGAACTTGGGAACGGAAGAGATGGCTCAGTGGTTAAGAGTGCTTCTTGCTCTTGCAGAGGGACTGAATTTGGTTCCCAGCAACCATGTTGGATAGCTCACAGATGCTTGTAACCCCAACTCCAGGGGATCTGAAACATACTTCTGGACTCTGCTGGTACCTGCATGCACGCATGCACACACCTATACAACCCCCCCCCCCCCCCCCCCCCCCCGGGCATGAAGTTGAAACAAGACAAACAAGCAAACCAAGAATGAAATTAATGTTGAGTGCTTTGGTATTACTGAGCCCAGACTGGTGATTAGAGCCTGGTATGAAATACTGGATTTTCATTGCGTCAGCCACAGGATGCAGCTGCCAGCCGGCAGTGCCATTGGAGGGCATTTGCAGCCACCCTAAGTGAGAACAGCACGGGACTCACCCAGGGAGACAGGCGGGAAGCTGAGGCTCACACCCCACACCCAGCCCATGCCTCACCAGGCCCCAGCCCAAAGCCGGCAGCCCCTTCATGGCTCTAGCAAGACCGTACTTTAGACCAGACAGAGGCTGGCCATGTTTTACCTTGGCCCTCATCTACAGTTCAGATTCTGGCAGCTCACTGGGGTGGTGCTCTGGGTAGAAGGGCGTCAACTGCCAATGCCCTGCGGTGCTTTCAGAGGTGATGCCGTTGTCCTATCTCACAGAAAAGGCACCTGCACAGGGCCATCGTAGAGTCTAGCCACTTGCACGCAGGTTTGATCATCAGGTGAAGAGAGGTTTTGGCTTCCCCCAGAGGAAGCTAGCTGGGCCTCTTCCTGCTTCCTGCTTGTGTCACTGCTAATTGAGAACAGAGGGCCTCCTCCATCACAGCAGCAGACTGTGCTTTAAATGCAGTCTTCTTTCTCAAACTCCGTTCTCGCTCTGAACATTGTAGGCACATCCAACAAGCCCAAGCCTTTTTTTTTTTTTGGCTAATTTCATTCTATTCTCTTGCTTTTCCCACTTTGGTGCTGAGGTTAGTGCCTTCTTTCAATGACAAGAAAAAAGGAAAAAAAAACAAAACAACTAGCAATTTGCACTCAGGTGAGAACACTGTTTAATTTTTAAAAGCAGCTTCAAAACAAGTCTACAGCCAAGCATAGCAGGTCACCGTAGGGCCATCAGCTCCCCAACAAGAAGCTCCCGCACCCTCTTCAGTCACAGCTGCCAATCCCTTCTGTCCCCCATCCTCCCCTGGGCTCGCCCAGCGATAATTTACGTTCTCACTCCAGGCTGGCCTTCTGTGTCCAGCTTGAGGTTCATAAACTGTGGCCTTTTGGGACTGGCTCCCTTAACTTAATGTTTTTAAAGGTCCATCCTTGTAGCAGTGCTCAGGTCTTCACATCACTGTGATGTTGTCAACATGCAGGCCCATCAACACGCCACACACTGTTTCTCTAGTCTATCAGCCCATGCGACCCTGGCATGCATCTCTTTCGCTCAGTGCTCTTTGGCTCTTTGGAACAATGCTGCTATGAGCATTGTGGGAATTTTTTGTGTGTACCTGTTTTAAACTCACTTGTGCGTCCGTCAATCTGGGGAGTGGAACGGCCGGGTCAGGCAACCACTCAACATCTACCTTCTTGAGAAACTACCATATGTTCTCCAAAGCAGCCACACCATCGGACGTGCGAGTTTGTCCCTCTGCGTCTGCCACAGCAGGCGTCACCTTTCTCACTCCTGAGGGGTTAGCAGTGGTGCCTCCCTGCTGTGGGGAGTCAAAGCCCTGGAGTTTTCTCTCACAGTTAACAAGCACCTTTTCAAAGTACCCTGGACACTGACGTATCTGCTCCGGGAAAGGGCTGTTCTCATCTGTCTGTTAATTATTCATTTGCAACAGTTCTTTTTATGTTCTAGGTACAAGTCACTTGTCAGAGACATGGCTAGCAGAATCCTGGATCGGCGCAGTGCCATTTTGTCTTGCAGCAGCCGAGTGAGAACAAGGTGTTCCCAAGCCTGGGTCTCACTACAGCCTTGACAGGGCTGTCTGTGATTAACCACACAGGGGCCAGCTCACTCGGCAATGCCTGTGATCTGCTGACAGCAGCTTGGAGGATGACAGAAACCTCCCAGAGCCCGCACTGAGCCTTGTTACCAGTTTGAGCAGAGGAGATTCATTAATTAGATTTGACAAGAGAAGAGGACTATTGATTTCTTGGCTCCTTTAAGGTGTTCCTTCTGGGCTAAAGTATGTTGCAAGCTATCGTAAACAAGGGCATGTCTGTGGTACACAGGGCGCAGATGTGCCTATGTATTTCAGTCTGTTTCTCAGAGCGTTCTGCAGCTATTCGGATAGTCTGCCTTTAGAATTTCACTTAAAAAGCATCCCTGGGTCCAGAGCAGTTTGGACAAGTTTATCCTGCCTATGTGTGGCACTCCAGTCTGCAGAAAAGCTTTCACCTTTCACCTTGTCCCAGTGAGCGAGCTCAGTCAGCAAGGGGATGTCTAGGCCGTTCCTCTCCATAAGGCTGGTGGGGTTGTCTCACAGGATGGCTACCCTCTGTGGTTTTTTTTTTGTTGTTGTTATGGAATTAGAGCCTTTGAAAATGTTTGGCTAGTATGTTATATAAACTTCCCAAGGACTGTGATGTACCTGTTTTTGTTTGTTTGTTTGTTTGTTTTTAATAGGCATTGATTTACCTCTTTGTAATTATTTCAAGGATTACTTGTGTATTTTTAAAAACAACTTTTATCAAAACCATGCCCATTGTAGAGCTTTAAAGGGTAACAAAAAACAAAAGATATTTAAAAATTACTCACTACCCATTTGCATTTTTCTCTGAGGTGGTTGTGTGTATTTTGGGTCCCTTGGATTTCCGTATGAATTTCCGGGATAGAGAGTCAGTTTCTGAGAAGAATCTGCTGGGATTTTAGCAGTGATTATTCTGAGTCTGTAGACCAATGGGCGCACTGTGTGCTATCGCCTCTGTAGCTCTGGGAGATGTGACACTCTGTAGGTGACAGTAGCCAAACCTCTTCTGCCCGCACTGCTCTTGTGGAGGTCCTGAGGTTGATTGACCTACCCATGTCAGGTGACTTATGATTGCCCTCTAGTGGACTCCATAGGCACTGCAGTCCATGTACATACCCATAAACAGACACACAGCATCGTACATATATACACACACACCTGAATGTACATATATATCTGTATGTACATAAGAAAATCAAAGAGGAATGTTAAAATTTCTAATCTGTGGACATGGAATACCTTTTTTTTCTCTCTCTCTCTTTTTGTTATCTTTTCCCCCTGCTGTGTTGCGGATCAAATTTCTTATACATGTTAATTAAGCAAATGGTATTTCCTGGCTATATCTTTAATTTTTTTTTAAGCTGTGGTTAGAGTTTTCAGAGTGCACATATAAAAGTATACATATAAAATAGACATGTATGTATGAATGCATTTTTGATTTAATTAAAAAAAAAGATTTATTTTCGTTTATGTGTATGTGCACGTGTGTGTTTATATACACACACGCGTGTAATCACCAAGGCCAGAAGAAGGCATCGGAACCCCTGGAGCTGGCATGACTAGTGTCACTGGTCTCGATGTGCTAGGAACCAAATTCTGGCTCTCTGCAGGAGCAGCAAGCACTCCTTTCTGCTGAGCTCCTTCCCAGCCTGTTTCCTTTCCTGTTAACTGCTCCAACACTCTGACCCCGGAGTGGACGGGTCCTGGTGTCTCTGTCAGCTGGTTAGCTGCAAGCTTATAGAGGTATTTGACTTTTTCGGGTGTTGCTCCTTCCACCTCCCAGCTCCGCTGACTTCATTTATTAGTTCAGTGGCTTTGTTACAGAGATCTTGGCCCCAGAAGACAGAAATAGTTCTACCTCTTGATTTTGAATTTGAATGTCCCGTCTTAGTCCTTATCTTAGG